CAGAGGCATTATCAGCGCAGAAAGCTGACATGCAATTCATTGATAACCCTGAATCAGCTATATTTACATTATGTTGTTAGCTACATCGTTGGATTTTTCACTACCCGAGGAAAAAAATTTAACAGTTTTATTGAAATGTTCTTATTCTTGTTAAAATAGCGAAAGATCAAGGGAAATGTTTTATGATTTCCCTTATTAGATACATCTGTCAGAATTACATATGGATGCCCATCTTTCAAGTGGTCTAGAATTGACCTCTAGGATTCAGGTACTAAAACACTTGTGATAGCCTTGCTCATTTTTGTTCTACCACAAGTAAGGTTTGCACTTATATTGGAGTCGTTAAATATCATGGGAAAAAGATTTGACCCACATTGTGATGATATAGCTCTGTGAATGTTGACCTACATGATAGGTGTATACGGTTTCCGCAACTGTAGTTGCATCTGTATTATTTATTATTTTTGGAGAATATTTTTGTATTGCAATCGATGTTGATATACTCCTTTGTACTGATGAATGAAATGATGTTGATTTATTATTGGATAAAAATAAAACAGGATAGAAAGAAATTTACAAACTAGACATGTTTTTCGTAATTTAAAATTTATTTTAAAAATATAAAAATAATCAATTACTGTCTCTCAAAATTATTATTTATATATTAAAAACGTTAAAACCCTTTTAAAAAAATTGCGGGAGATTTCCAATTGCAGTAGTTTTGCCGGAGAGATGTCTGCGTGTAAACTAAAAAATTGCGGGAGTCTCCCGCTGATGGGGGGAGACATGGCAACCCAGAACATGATGCGTTTTTTTAATATTTTTGAAGTTGTTTATTAATTATTATTTTTTAGTTATTTACTATACAAAATTAAAATTATATTTATTTTTATATTTAATTATTTTTTTTTCATCTTAAAAAGCTTTAAAAAATTTAAATACAAATACAAACAATATAAAATTTTATAATACATATTGTAATCGCTATAAAAAATAAATCTAAAACAAACTATTATTACAAAATATGGAATTTTAAAATACTTTTTATTTTATAGCTTAGAATTTTATTAAAATAATTATTTATTAAAATATTAAAAATATTTAATTAAAAAGCTAACCATACATAAGATTAAATATAATTTATATTACGCATGTATGCATTTTGTTTTATATTTAAAAATTTTTTAAAAAAAATGTAATATAATAAATTGACTCAACTTTAAAACTCATGAGGATGACGATTGAATCAATAAAAAAAACCATCCCATCCCATAAAAAATAATTTGTTTGAAAATAAAATATATTTTCAATCTAATTTAGTAAATAACTTAAATTTTTTTTTCTTCTTTTTTTTAAATTTATAAATTTAAATATAATAAATCTTCTATTTTTTTGAGTTTTAAAATAATTTCTGGTATTAAAAAAAGAGGATTCAAATCAACAGACCGGTTATGAAACCTTCTTTAAATGTATCAGTATGTCTAGATTTAATAGTATCGTTATGCCCCATCATAGTTCAGAATTAAGTACGAAATTTCCGGCAGGATTTGTTTAATTTCATCGCTATTTTTTAAAAACATATATTTATTTTTTTCTTCTAATTTTATAAATGTATCTTGGACAAGCACATTTAATATCTTTAAAATATTTTAATAGTTATTAACCATTAATGACTAAATAAAATAATTACCTAAAAGAGGGACTATAAAACTAAATATATTGGGTCGATTTTTTTGACCCAAAACTTGGCTCAGTTTTCGACTCAGTCAACTCGATTCAGTCGATTAACAATATATGTAAAGAATAAAATAACGTTAAAACATTTTAGAAAAATTGATTTGTCCATTTTTTATAGCACTTCAATTTTTTATGGACAAACTTTCCTCGGTCTCCCCTATTATATATTAATAGTTAATGACCAAGAATATTAACATTGGGGTGAAGTACGAGTACAAATATATTTATTTTTTTTGAAAAGCTTGATTTTCTTCCGAAATCTAAAAAAATGGAAATTAATTTTCATCAAATTTATAATTATAACTGTTTCCAACGAGAATGTTGACGGAAATATATCTAAATTAATCAATTTTATGTTGAATTTTTTATGTAAAATAAAAATATTTGATTATATTTATAGAAACTAGAGACGCCAAGCCACGCGTTAATATCACATCTATATTTTAGATTTTAAAATCATGTACAAATATATAATCTAATTTTTTTTATCAAAAAGAAAATAGGGGATTTTATTAAAAAAATTAGCTACAGATACTTAATTTTATTATTAAAAAAACCGAAAATAAAAATTATATATTATTAAATATTCATCCAAGTTGATAAATTAAATAAATCGAGTCAGAAAATTCGTTCTAATTCTGAACTAAGATTAAGATGGTATAGAAATAAGCTCTCAGCTAACCTACATAATAATTCATTTTAATCCAAGCCCTAATTTAACCATAAGCTGAGTTGCTTACAGGATTTTACTATTTAAGTTTGATATTATTGATAAATATTTTTTATTTAAAATATTTGAAACAACATTATTTATTTGGATCTCGGATCTGTGCTTGGGGTTCGAGTTAACGCTGGCTTATATCCTATATAAATATTGCTAATGTAGATCGTAGTGATTTTATTAGACCCAAACCCCGGATGTGGGTTTTACATAACCAACCAATTAACAACATACCCATATTGATATTTTGTTTTGATAAAAATATTCCTGACCCTCCAAAACCTAGACCTGCCCTCTATGAGTGATTATTATTATTACAATAAAAAAATATTTTAATTACCTTTAATTTGATACCCATATCAAAAAATATTATTTTTTGCACCCCCCCCTCCATCCACCACCCAGACCAGGTCATACCCATCAAGACAAAAAATGAATACTTTTAATCTAAAGATATTTAAATTAGATTTTATTTGATACCCATATCGATATTTTGTGTTGATAAAAATATTCCTGACCCCCCGAGACCTAGACCCGCCCTCTATGAGTGATTATTATTATTACAATAAAAAAATATTTTAATTACCTTTAATTTGATACCCACATCAAAAAATATTATTTTTTACACCCCCCAGACCAAGTCATATCCATCATAACAAAAAATGAATACTTTTAATCTAAAGATATTTAAATTAGATTTTATTCGATATCCATATCAGTATTTTGTGTTGATAAAAATATTCCTGACCCCCCCAAGACCTAGACCCGCCCTCTATGAGTGATTATTATTATTACAATAAAAAAATATTTTAATTACCTTTAATTTGATACCCATATCAAAAAAAAAAAATTTACACCCCCCCCCCTTCCATACACCCCCCAGACAAAGTCATACCCATCAAGACAAAAAATGAATACCTTTAATCTAAATATATTTAAATTAGATTTTATTTGATACCCATATCGATATTTTGTGTTGATAAAAATATTCCTGACCCCCCAAGACATAGACCCGCCCTCTATGAGTGATTATTATTATTGCAATATAAAAATATTTTAATTACCTTTTAATTGATACCCATATCAAAAAATATTATTTTTTACACACCCCCCCCCCTCCATCCACCCCCCAGACCAAGACAAAAAATGAATACTTTTAATCTAAAAATATTTAAATTAGATTTTATTTGATACCCATCATATCGATATTTTGTGTTGATAAAAATATTCCTGACCCCCCAAGACCTCCGCCTCGCCCTCTATCACTCTTATTACAATAAAAAAATATTTAAATTATCAACATGTTTATTAAATCATCACAACACAACACAACCCAGGTCTGAACTCCGGGTAAACCCAGGTCTGAACCCTGAGTCTATGCTCGGGGTTTGTGCTCAGAGCTGCTTTGGTAGATTTTTTAGAGTAAAACCCCGGGTCTAGGTTTTACACAACCAACCAATTAACAACACTACTCTGACATCGTTAAATTTTTTGTCTTATAAAACATAATGACCATATATTTATTGAGTGGGGCATTAGGGTATTATCGATTATATCAAATATATTAGTTTTAAATATGTTGATAATTATTACTATTATCATAGTTTGTTATTATTATTATTCATATTAACAATCAACATATTCTTGTTCGCCATTTCATTGTTGCCGGATGCAGAATAAATTATTCTCTTTAAAGACCCTTGAAGATACCTTCCCAATGCCAGCATTTCCATACCTACCATAAACTGATTGCATAAATGCTGTCAATAGTTGTCCTGATTTTTTAAGCCAATTTGTGGTTTCTTAACGACTGGTGCACCAGTCCTATCACTAGGACTATAGTCTGACAAAATCAAACTTATATGCAGTTACCATCAATTTAAATATTAAGCATATCAACTTAATCTCCCTGAAAGATAATATTTTTATCAAATATGGATAACATCAATGTTCTACTACTACAAAATTTTCATTACCAAATAAAGTTAAAAAAATGTTCTTATATTGGGATTCTGTGACTTAAGTTTACTTAAATGTAAACTTGCTTCCCAAGTGAAAAATTGGATATTCTTTCCATCAAATTAAAAAGTATATACGTCCACTACTAACTTATCTTTTAATTTATTTTTCATAGAATCTATCAAATTATTCTCATTATTAGCTACAGTAATATTATTTTTAAATATTCTGCCATTATCAACATTTAAGGTTAAAAATTTCCATATTAATATGCTTATTTTTTTATATTGCCACAGAAAGTCTTTAATGATATAATTATTATATCAATTGTATATAATAATAACTGTTCTTTTGAATTGTTATAGATAAGTTATTAAAAAATGTCAAATGTTAAAATAAAGAAACAATTTATTTTTATATTTAAATTAACCAAAATTTTCTTATGGTAAATTTATTTTTATAGAATTTTATTAGCCTCACAAGAAATTTTTATTGAATGCAACTTAAGCCATTTAAAGGGGTAATTTATTAAACTTTGCTATAAACTATCACCTTTCGGTGTACTTTTATGAGTTAACATTACTTTATTTGCGTTTTTTGATGTATAGAGAGTAGCGTCATGTGAAAAGCCTAAGAAAATAATAATATATATTTTACTAATAAATATTACATCTATATATTCCCCTATATTTCAACATTTTGCAGGTTAAATTAATACCATAATTCGCTGAAAATATGCAACCTTAAATGAATTTCATATATCATTTCAAAGATTTTAGGAAACATCTGATTGATTTTTGTTTGATAGTTTCGAAATATAATTGACATCATCAGAGATGTGATAATAATATAAACATTAAATGAAGGATTTAATTCAATTCAATTTTGGGTTCCACGTCATTACAGAGAAACCATTACAGAGAATGTATTTTACAGAGAATGTATTTTACAGAGAATGTATTTTACAGAGAATGTATTTTACAGAGAAATATTTGAATGCACTTATAGAGAAAACAATTATAGAGAATGTCATTTATAGAGAAAGTTTTATAGAGAAAGTTTTATATAGAGAATGACGTTTATAGAGAATGATTTTACAGAGAATGATTTTATAGAGAATGATTTTACAGAGAATAATTTTATAGAGAATGTATTTTATAGAGAATTATTTTATAATGAATGTATTTTATAGATTTATTTTATAAAGAATTTTATTTTATAGAGAATTATTTTATAAAGAATTTTATTTAAGAAAATGATTATTTTATAAAAAAATGTTATATATAGTCATAGGAAAAAAAATTACAGTATTTGACATAATATTATACATTAGAATTACCTTAAATAAAAAAATAATTGGGTAGTTTTTGAATTATTAATCGGTACAGAAATTATTTGTTTATTTTTGCACTCGATTATTAGATGAATTAATGGTAGAACAAAATTTTGACATGATTTGTAAGGAAAATCATATAGTAAAAGAATATAAAAAAGTTTTACAAATTTAAATTTATTATTTTATTATATTTATTTAAATTAAGTAACTAGTTACTATTGGCAGTTGCTTTCTAAAAAATGTAGCCAGCTACAGTTACGATTTTGTAAAAATAACTAGTTATAAATATTTTTAGCTAAAGTGTAGCTAGTTAATGGTAACCACTTAATTTGACAAAAATAATGTAGAGATTATCATTTATAAGCTTTTTTTATCTTCAGCAAAATTTATTTAGTTCTTCCTAAATATTTTCAATTATAGATGTGACACACCGATAATCCATTCTTAAGTTAAAAGTTATTTGTCACTAAGAGATAAACAAATTTTGACATGATTTGTAAGGAATTTTACGAAATTTATTTTTAAAGATAAGAATACAAAATAAAATATATAGTGTTGTTAAAAGTTACTTTGGCAATGTGACTTAAAGAATATGTTTAATACTATTTGTATATGAAGTTTTTATTAGATAAACCTTGATAATATACTGAGTTTACAATATTCATTTCGAAATATCAAATAAATTTTTATTCATAAAAAATCCAAATAAACATAGTATAAATAACATACCAATATAAAAAATAAAAATATATGATTATATTAAACATTTAAATTTAAATTATGGGATAAACCTTATATAATCCAGCATGGTTTTTGAATAAAAATCTTCAACAATTAGAAAAATCCTTTTGGATCTTTCGCGATATTCTTTCTTTGACAACGGAGCCAATAATCCTAAAGAATATTGTTCCAATTTGTAACAATTCAGGCTATCTTCGTCTTTGAGTGGTAAAAATTAAAATGCTAAAATTTATAATATAATATAATTACTAACTCTTTATAAATTTCCAGATCGTTGGATGATGGGAACTTATATGAGACGAAAAACTTCGATGCCAGTCCTCTACTGAATTATTTGTATTCGGTTCACGAGATAGTGTCGATTCGTAGCAATTTCATAGAGAAATGTTAAATATTGGCGACTTCCTCTCCATCGCTATCATTTTCCCAGTCCACGTCTCTTGAAAATATTCTATCAAGGAAGAGAGAATATCCCTATTTTCTTGATAAAATTTAGAGGCACATAATTCCTCGAATCTATGAATTACATCCACAATTGGTACATATGTCATTGACATTAACATTTTTATGTACATAGCAAAATTTGTTTCAGTTTTGTATGCATTGCAAATTGGCGGATTTTTTTGAACCGTGCGCCATATGCATTGAGACCTATGAAACAGGCATTCGCGCAAAAGTAACTGATTACTTAATTTATATATATATTTCAATAAATATAATTAAATAATAAATTTAAATTTGTAAATTTTTTTAACATTCTTTTACTTTATGATTTAAATCTTAATTCGATTTAACATAATTTAATCGATCCGGCTAGCCCTGAATCTACTATCCACTAAAAATAATTGTAACTAGTGGCTAGTTATATTTTAATAAAGAAAACTATTTAACTTGTTATATTATCCAAAATTTAACTACTAACTTAACTACATTACATTGCCAAAGTAACTTTTAACAACACTATCTGTTTTATTTTGTACTTATCTTTAAAAATAAATTTCGTAAAATTCCTTACAAATCATGTCAAAATTTTATTCTACCATTAATTCATCTAATAATCGAAAATCCTCGCTTATATTAGGTAATTCTAATATTTAAAATTATGCAAAATACTATAACTTTTTGTTCCTATGACTATATATAACATTTTTTTATAAAATAATAATATCTTTAAGTAACATTCTTTATAAAATAATTCTCTATAAAATACATTCTTTATAAAATAATTCTCTATAAAATACATTCTTTATAAAATAATTCTCTATAAAATCATTCTCTGTAAAATCATTCTCTGTAAAATCATTCTCTATAAAATTATTCTCTATAAAATCATTCTCTATAAAATCATTCTCTATTAAATCATTCTCTGTAAAATCATTCTGTGTAAAATCATTCTCTATAAAATTATTCTCTATAAAATCATTCTCTATAAAATCATTCTCTATAAAATCATTCTCTATAAAGTAATTCTCTGTAAAATCATTCTCTATAATTGTTTTCTCTATTAAATATTCTCTGTAAAATACATTCTTTATAAAATAATTCTCTATAATCGACATTCTCTATAATTGTTTTCTCTGTAAAAGTTTCTCTATAATTGTTTTCTCTGTAATAGTTTCTCTATAATGACGCGATACCGTAATTCAATTCAATTTTGTATAGCAATAGAAATCCTTTGTCTAAGGTAAAAACCTTCTCTGGGTTCCTTTTTATTTTACGGATATTTGAACCGTGTCTTTTGAAGAAAGATAGAAAGATGGCTACCAAATGAGTGCAATTTATAGGTATCGCGTCATTACAGAGAAAACAATTATAAAGAAACTTTTACAGAGAAAACAATTATAGAGAATGTCGATTATAGAGAATGTCGATTAATGAGAATGTCGATTAATGAGAATGTCGATTAATGAGAATGTCGATTAAAGAGAATTATTTTATAATGAATTATTTTATAGAGAATGTATTTTACAAAGAATTTTTTATAGAGAAAACAATTATAGAGAATGTCATTTATAGAGAATGTCGTATATAGAGAATGATTTTACAGATAACTATTTTATAGAGAATGATTTATAGAGAATAATTTTATAGATAATGATTTTACAGATAATGATTTTATAGAGTATTAGTTTACAGAGAATGATTTTATAGAGAATAATTTTATAGAGAATTATTTTACAGAGAATGATTTTATAGAGAATGATTTTATAGAGAATGATTTCAGGGGCGTCGCTAGCCTTTACAATCTCAGGGGGCTTAACTAAAACGCCCCCATACTCCCTAATTTGCGGGCTTTCGGCCCGCTTTTGCCGGCCTTCGGCCGGGTTATATATTAATATATTTTTAAAAATTACTAAACTCTTGAAGGATTATTCTTATTTTCATATTTTGTTTTTTATTATATAATACGTACAAAATAAACTAGAATATAAATAATTAAGACTAGAATATTGATCATTAAGACTAGAATATAAATATCATTAAGACTAGAATATAAATATCATTAAGACTAGAATATAAATAATTAAAACTAGAATATAAATAATTAAAACAATACATTTCTACAAATTTTTCAATACAAAATCGATTTACTACAGTATAAAGTATTTTAAATTGCTGATATAAAAAATTTCGCGTCTAAAGAATTACTAGTGATAAAACCGATTAATTAATTCATACATATGCCTCAATTGTTAATGTTTTTAAAAACCCCATAAGGCAATATAATTCTAAGCAACTAACATTAACTAAAGGTCATGAAACTAATATAACTCTCTCTTACCATTTTAGACAAAGTTTTATAGAATGGACTAATAAGGAAAAATTTATAGGCCTAACCAAATCAACAATTCTTGAAGAAGAGAATATTTTTAACAAAGAATTTGATTGCAAGCTGACATAGTGAAAATATAATTTATATGTATTAAACTAATCTAATAAAATTTAGATAGTCTTATTAATTTTTAAATAATAAAATTAAATTTATATATTACTTAATAGAATTATAATAAACAGGGGACAATCAAAAAAAGTTCTTTTTAGTTTAAGGGGATATTAAGGAACCATTAAAAAAAAATTTTTTTTGCTTCAGGGGGCTATTCAAATTTTTTAGGGGGCATGAGCCCCTGCGCCCCCCCCCATTCTAGTGACGCCACTGAATGATTTTACAGAGAATGATTTTATAGAGAATTATTTTATAATGAATGTATTTTATACAGAATTATTTTATAAAGAATGTATTTTATAGAGAATTATTTTATAAAGAATGTATTTTATAGAGAATTATTTTATAAAGAAAAAGATATGATTATTTTATAAAAAAAATGTTATATATAGTCATTGGAAAAAAAGTTATAGTATTTTACATAATTTTAAATATTAGAATTACCTTATGTAAGCGAGGTTTTTCGATTATTAGATAAATTAATGGTAGAATAAAATTTTGACATGATTTGTAAAGAATTTTACGAAATTTATTTTTAAAGATAAGTACGTACAAAATTATAGACTTCTAATTTTTAAAAATATTTATTTATTTGGTAGCTTTTTGAGGCCAAAGATGTTTGAGCTTAGCATGGTAGGGGTTAGGATCAGTATACGATAGTCCAAAATTAAGAACTGACAACTTTTCCAAGAGATTTAATACAATCTGGACGTTATCCATCAGATTTTAAGAGACCGTGAAGATGGATGAAATCATGGTAT